GAGAGAGAGAGAGAGAGAGAGAGAGAGAGAGAGAGAGAGAGAGAGAGAGAGAGATCTGCTGTGAATTTCTTGTGCTAGGTGTTGCTATGTCTAACATTGATGGGGCATCGGTTTTGTTTTACACGCCCAGGAGGAAAGGCAAAAGGGGGTAGAAAGTGACAACAGAGGTGGAATAGTTACAGTGGTGATGGTTGGTTAACCCCGAAAGAGGGATAATTAAGCTCTCACTCTTCCGTAGTAATGTTTTTTTTTGCAGACAATTAACCGGTCCTTCCTAGTCGAAGGGAAACATACATCTGAAATTTGAGATGCTGTTCTTCGACATGTCTTTTTGACAACAATCCACACGGACGCCGATCTGAATTTTTTATTTTTTATTATAGATTATGCAGCAGGTGTTGGGTTGGGGAATTTGATCAACCATCATTTTGTGAGCAGGAGACCCGACGGTGCCACGTGTGTTTACCAAGAACAAGCCACGTGTATTTACCAAGATTCTGCTTTTAAATTTTAATTCGATCTGGTCGTGTTGTCTTTTTCCTTGCTTCCTTCCAACCGTCTACGCGGAGTCCCCTTCCTCGAACTGCATGTAAAGGACTAATTAGCCAATTAGCCAATTAGCCAATCAACCAACCAACCAACCAGAATCGATAAACCAATCAACGGATGAAACGGATAAATGAAGGAATGAATGAATAAATGAATGGATCGATCAATCAACCGATGTTTACTGAAAGGAGCCCAGCGGGCAAAAAGTACCTGGCTGACTGCATAGTCCAGATGCAGAATGCCCACGTTATCTCAGGCAGGCAAATATGAGAAGGCCGCGCGCACGTTATCTCAGGCAGGCAAATAAGAGAAGGCCGCGCGCGCCTCGGTCGGTACGTTGCCCATGGCTTCACACACACACACACACACACACACACACACACACACATATGCTTCAGCCTTCTGACGAGTGGGTGAAACTCCGCCTACCCCAGTATCAGCTCTGATTCATGCAGCTACTATGGTAATAGCAGGTATTTTCAACTTTTCATGATCATGGCAAGGGGGTGTTCTCCCTTATTTGAATACGCACCCAAGGCTTAAATTGTGATTACTTTTGGGGGAGCTATGACATCCTTTTTTGCGGCAAGACGAAACACTCAGGCACAGCCCCTCGTTTGTTGTCCTGTACTCTCTCAGTCTCTCTCCTGTGACAGTCTACGATTTACCAGGCAGTTCTGTTTGACGATATATATGCGTATACATGTCAAAATTCGTTCCACGAGATCGGGACAGAGCGACGGCTGTGAATTGGAAACTTCATTGAATTAGTCAGTCCACTGCGCGCCGCGTTCGTCGATCCACTGCGCGCCGCGTTCGTCGATGTTTCCCACGTAATGATGCTGTCTTCCCGCAGGATTTACTTTTTTTTTTTTCTTTTTTTTTTTTAAATCAAAGCAATTCCTTTTGCTTTTTTTAATGCACTTCTTCAGTTGTGAAACGGTAATCACCAGTTCGCCGTAGCGAATGCAGATCCCAGGGCTCGATCCCTAGTTCCCTGGCTACCTGTGTACAGTATTGATGTCAACCCGTAGACTTGAACCCGCGACCTGTAGGATCGCCAGTGGTAGGCAGGGTTTCGTAGGTCACAGCTTAGAAGGGAATCGAACTGTAGACCTGTAGGGTAGGAGTCTAGACAGTTCCAAAGTCGTAGCTGTAGGATGCCTGAAGAGTCAAGGTCGTAGCTGCTACTTACCTGAAA